ATTTAAAATTCATAAAATTTTGGTTTTCTTTTTTATATTATTTAAAAATATATATTGTATTTTAAATACATATGATACTATATTTTCGAAGATGTGGGCTCCACATATATGCCACATCAAAAAACTAATGAAGTTTTTAAAAAATTATTTAAAAATCATAAAATTTAAAAATGAAAAAAACATTTATAAAATGATTTTAACCTCGAGGACCATTTATAAACCATAAACCCTTGGTTTTTTCATTTTTAAATTTTATGAATTTTAAATTATTTTTTAAAAACTTCATTAGTTTGTTGATGTGGCATATATGTGGAGCCCACATCTAAAATAATATAGTGTCATGTGTATTTAAAATACAATATATATTTTAAAATAATTTAAAATTCATAAGATTTAAAAAAGAAAACCAAAATTTTATGAATTTTAAATGAAAAAAATTTAAAAATTTGCAGGGACCATTTGTGATAGGTGCATGAACCTCAGGGATGTTTTGTGATATATATATATATATATGCGCCACATCAGCAAACTAACAGAGTTTTTGACGGAACCTAATGGCAGGGACCATTTATGATCACACATACTAACCTTGGGGACCACCAATGACACAAAAAAACATTAAGGATGCAATCTGATAGTTTTGTAAACCTTAGGGACCTTTTGTGATAATAAGCCTTTTTTAAACGATCGTCGTTAATCAATTTATTTATTTTTTCTGCTTTATGACAAAAAAGGTACTATGTTTGTTGCAATATTTCATAACTGCGACTGGTTTGAATGGGCCCGGCCCATTAGATGACAATTTTGTAAGTAATGGAAGTGATAGAGTTACTTTAATATGACTTTTTTTTTTGTCAAGTAATTTAATATGACTTGGTAGTTACATTTAATCCATGCGTCATTTTTTTTAAAATTTAATTTTTTATACAAGCAATATTTTACTTTAATTTAATTTAAACTTGTTGGAGGGAGATTCGAACTCTGTTGCAGAGTAGAAACACTTTAGCTCTACCCAATTTTAGGCTGAGCCCATGTCTGTCAATGCGTCCCTTTTTTTTACTTGCATTTGATCTACATATGTTGAAGACTACCACTGAAGTTCTATTTACGTTGAAGACTTTTCTTTCCAACTGCCACTGAAGTTCTATTTATGTATTTTTTTTGTCAAATTATTTACGTTTTTCGACCATTAGCTTTTCAAAGTGCTGCATCAAAAACTTTGTGTAAACTCATACTGTCAATGAATATTTGTGTAAACCCCGCCCACCCAAACTTGAGTTTGGATTTTTTCCTTTCGTCATCAAAAACTTTGTGTAAACTCATACTGTCAATGAATATTTGTGTAAACCCCGCCCACCCAAACTTGAGTTTGGATTTTTTCCTTTCGTCTAAAAAAATGATGGGCAACATAAAGGCCTTCTAGATTAAGACGGACTGAGGTGCTTTTGCTGGTAGTCTAGTTTTTCTTGGGTTTCGCTATATCTCTTGTTGTTGCATATGAAGACAGTAATGGTGCACATTATTTGAAGTTGGAATGTAAGTATAACTTCAAAACTAATAATGGTGAAACCCATGAAACCAACCATCATTTGGATTATCGGTATTTGGATGCAAACGGTTTTGAAGATTCCCATGAGGTTTTTGTGTGACGGTATAATTTCTTTGAAGTTATAGAAGGAGCTCAAAGGCCCCATGCGTTTACATACTTCTTCCGATGAATCATTATCGGCTTTGAAGCTCGAAAAGTGTGGGATGTGCCTGTTGTATGCCCAAAATGTTGAGATCATTAAGCAATAAGTTTATAGCTTCAGTAGTTAGGAATATATATACCTAAGCTTATGTCCCTATCACCAATTTATATAAGCTATTGCAACCGTTGTGTGGCTAAGGATGCTTTTGAGTTTGTCGGGCTTCGGGGTGTCTTTCTTGTTTTAGCCCTTCGGCTTTTCCTCCCCCATGTAAACTTTTTTTTTTTCTTACTTCTTATTTATATATTTTGAATTTATTTTCTAAGTGGCTGTAACAAAGATGGGTTACATAGTTGGGATTCGACCCGGCCCATAAACAGCTTTAGCTATTCTATGTTCATGGGCCGATCAATCAGTAGAAAATTGCAAACGAGAGAGAGAGAGAGGGAGGGAGAGAAGAATTCCAACCCTCCAAATACATTATGCGTGGAAAATAAAATTGGAAAAAAATGGGGAGAGTTTGAAGAAATGCAAACGATGTTGTCCTTATGGTGCTTATTTTTTCTAAATAAAAAAACAATAGGTTATGTTACTGTCACGAAATGAATTATTCTTGTTCATTATTATTGAAAGTTATCTTGTGAAGTTATTATATGATAAAATACAAAATTTGATGAAGAATTCGTTTCAACAAAAATGCTATATCAACCAGTTTTCATGTTTTAAGCCTTCAGCCTACCCGTTTACATAAGATTGGAAAGAAGAAAAAAAATCTCAATTATTTCTATTCGATTATGGATCGTCAAGGAGTTTTAGATGACAATTTTGTAAGTAATAAAAGTGACAGAGTTACTTTTAATATGACTTGGGAGTTACATTTAATCGATGAGTCCAGTTTTTTTAAATTTTTTATTTTTTTTTATGCAAGCGATATTCTACTTTAATTTAATTTAAAATATTTGGAGGGGGATTCGAATTCTGTTGCTGAGCGAGGAACACATCAGTTCTAGCCAATTAGACTAAGCTCATGTATGTCAATGCGTCCAGTTTTTAAACTTTCCTTTTATATATATGTATACGTTGAAGATTACCACTGAAATTCTATTTACGATGAAGACTTTTCTTTACAACTACCACTGAAGTTCTTTTTATGTTTTTTTGGGGTAAAATTATTTATGTTTTTCGACCACTAGTTTTTCAAAGGGCCATAGCATCAAAAGATTTGTGTAAAATTAGACAACGAATGAATATTTGTGTAAACCTCACCCTCCTAATGACTTGTACAAAAAAAAAAATTAAAAATTAAAAATTTGTGTCTCGAAGCAAACATTTCATCCTCACATCACATGCATTAGAATATAAAGTTGGACTGTGTTGCATTAATGGGTGCAAAGCAGTCCTAATTTACTTTGAAGGTAAATAAATATTTAATCAATTGATAAAATTCTAATTAAGCCCTCTTACATGAATGCGTGCATGGTGCATGATGTATTACATGAATGCTTCTACTTTTTCCTCTTTTCCTTTTCGTAATTTCCATTGTTTTTCCGTTCTGCTTTTAGTACTTGAATTTTTTGTGCCCTTTCCTTTCTCCAGTGTGAATTCTTGAATTTTTGTCCACCGACACTGGTCGCCTAATTATTTCACTCTCCTCTTTTTTCTTGAATTTTTGTCAAGTCAACTAGAGCAAAAGGCCAATTATACTATGTTGATATTATATTAAGCTCAAGTATTGTCAAGAAAAGCCCAATTATTATAAAACACGTACCCCTTCAGTTTTTCTTTTTGAGATTGAAGAATCAAATTTGAGACTATTAGTCTGCAAATCAAAAACCATTTTTTACTGAGCTAGTCCTGTTGATATAAGTGTTGGGTAATTATTTCACTTCTACTCTTTTTTTTCAATTTTTGTTTATTTTTGTTTATATATTTCTGATGATTTAGATTTTCCTAGATTGTCTTATCTCTGCAAGCGACTGCTTTTTATTATCTTTCATCAGGGCAACAAACCTTTGTAGCTCTCTCTCGCCTAACAGGAACCTCAGGTGCAACTTAATTGACCCCATCCATCTTCAATATCAGATTCTTTTTCTTCTTCAAGGAGAACCCCATTCATCTCAAATATCAGATTTGCTTTAATTATAGCTTCTGGTGCATTCAGAGAAACAGATATGGACTCCATTGAGTTCTTTCAAGTTTTCATGATAATCATCATACTCATCTTGACACTGTTGTACATGAGTTTCAGATCATGTACATCTTCTTCTTCTTCTTCTTCTTCTTCTTCTTCTTCTTCTTCTGTTGCTGCTGTTGATACTGATATCCCCCCTCTTCAAGATTCTAGTTCTTCTGTTGGTGCTGCTGATACTGATATCCTCCCTCTTCAAGATAAGTACGATGTGTTTCTTAGTTTCAGAGGTGAGGACACACGCGATGCTTTTACCAGCCATCTTCATGCGGCTTTACTTCGGAAGCAAATTGAGACCTACATAGATAACAGACTTGAGAAAGGAGACGACATTGGACCTTCCCTTAAAGAAGCAATCAAGAAATCGAAAATTGCACTAGTCATTTTCTCAAAAAACTACGCTTCTTCCACATGGTGTTTGAAAGAACTTGTGCATATACTAGAATGCAAGAAAAGCTATGGACAGATTGTTATACCCATTTTTTATCGCATAGATCCATCAGATGTACGAAAACAGCAGGGAACTTATGCACTTGCATTTGATGAACTTGAAAAACGTTTCAAGGGCAGTACGGATGAGGTGGTCAACTGGAGGGCTGCTTTGAAGGAAGCAGCCACTATGTCTGGGTTTCATTATTCAAGCAAAACAGGGTATACTAAATCTCTAACTTGTATCAATTTCTTTTTGTGATAATTTGAATCATATACTTACTATTGTTTGTCTTTCATAATGATATTTGCCAGGAGGACAGAGTACCATTTTGTTGAGGAAGTTGTTCAACATGTTTTGACCAAATTGAATCGCGAATCGTCAAGTGATTTAAAGGGCCTGGTTGGAATTGAAAGAAAAATTGAGCAAATTGAGTTGCTATTATGCTTGGATTCACCAGGTGTTTGCTGCGTAGGTATTTGGGGCATGGGTGGTATTGGCAAGACCACCCTCGCTGATGCTGTATTTCACAGGCAGAGGCAGTCCTCTAAATTTGAAGCTTGTTGTTTTCTCGCAAATGTCAGGGAGAAATCAGAAAAAACGGATGGACTAAATGACTTGCGAAATACACTTGTTCGTGAATTATTAAAGGATAAAGATGTAAATATCAACTCTCCGTCTATACCACCTCATATTCAAGATAGGCTCAGGCGTACAAAGGCACTCATTGTTCTTGATGATGTGAATGCTCGAAAACAACTAGAATATCTTGTTGGTGATCATGATCGGTTTTGCCAAGGGAGTCGAATCATTATAACTGCTAGAGATAAAGGCCTACTTGAGCAAAAAGTTGACCACGAAAAGATATACAATGTTGAGGGATTAGGTTCTGATGAAGCTCTTGAGCTCTTTCATTTGCATGCTTTTGGAAATAAGTCTCCAACAACTGATGAAGCTCTTCAGTTGTCGAGAGAGGTGGTAGAGTATAGTAAGGGCAATCCATTAGCTCTTAAAGTTATGGGGTCATCATTCCGTCGTTGCAAGAGCAAACTAGAGTGGGAAGTTCAATGGAAAAAAGTGAAACAATTTCCAGAAGAAGAAATCGATCAAGTGTTGAAAATAAGTTACGATGGATTAGGAAAAAATGAGAAGGAGATATTTCTTGATATGGCATGTTTTCATAAAGGCTATCTGAGGAATTATGTAGAAGAGTTTGTGGATAGTTGTGGTTTCTTTGGGAAAACGGGAATCAATGATCTTATTGATAGGTCTCTCATATCAATTTCAGAAGATATGGAGTTAAAAAAATTGAAAGAGAAATACCCAGGAGGACGGATAGATATGCAGTCAGTAGAACGGATAGAGATGCATGATTTGGTGCAGGAAATGGGTAGGGAAATTGCTCGAGAACAAAGCAGTAGGTTGTTCAATGCAGATGATGTCTATCAAGTTTTGATAAATAACCAGGTACGTAGTAATATTCACATTTACAATAAACAAGTCAGATTATTCCTACAAATGTAATTTTGTATATTATATTTACATTTATATTTTGCTTTCGATTGTCAGAGAGATGGACGTGTTCAAGCCATATCGTTTGACTTGTCTAAGTATGAAAAGCTACCCTTGGAGTTGGAACACGCAAACTTCGAAAAGATGTATCAACTGAGACGCCTACGTGTCAGTCATTATCCTCTGATGAGAGCTCGAGGTCTTCGCAATATTGTTTCTCTTGATCTTCCCAATTCTCTTAGATATCTTGTCTGGGAGGGATATCCTTTGAAATCTTTGCCATCAAAATTTTCTGCTCAAAATCTTGTTGTCCTTAGTATGCAGAACAGCCAAGTTGTGGGGCAACTTTGGAATGAAGATCAGGTATATTATATATGCTTATTTTAGAACGTTCTTGTATAACATGTGGCCTAGAAGGTAATAATCTGCAAGCTAAGTTATTAATTCTTGTTTAATTTGTTACAGAGTCCTGTGAACTTAAAACGGATCAATCTTAGTGAATGCTACCATCTAACTGAAGTCCCAAATCTCTCTCGGAGTCGGAAAATTGAGCATATAGATCTGAAGGGCTGTCACAGTTTGGTTGAAATTCCTTCGTATTTTCAACATCTTAGTAAGCTTACTTATCTTGACCTTACGCAATGCACAAATCTCAAAAATCTTCCCGAGGTGCCATGCAATCTTGAATTCTTAATTTTGTATTCGACAGCAATAGAGGAATTGCATTCATCAGTTTGGTCTCACGAAAAAATATCTCACTTAGATATTAGATTTTGTCGACACCTTAAGAGTCTTCCAAGCAACACTTGTAAGCTGAAACTCTCGAGTCCTTTTAGTCTAATCGGCTGCAAATCTCTTTGCGAGTTTTGGGAGCTTCCCATGGATACAACAGTGCTAGAGTTGAGTAGTACAACAATAAAAGAATTGAGGAAAACATCAATAGAGTTTGTTGTTGGTCTCACTGCAATTAAACTGATCGATTGCAAAAGCCTTGTGAGTCTCCCAACGAACATTTGGAAGTTGAAATATTTGGAAAGCCTTGATCTCAGTGGTTGCTCTAACTTTCAACACTTCCCAGAAATCTCTGAGGCTATGGAGCATCTGGAGTTTCTAAATTTATCAGGTACAACGGTTAAGGAGGTACCCCGATCAATTGGAAATCTAGTTGCGCTTCGAAAATTATGCCTGGTTGAGTGCAGTATACAAGAAATCCCTGATGACCTCTTTTGCTTAACCTCATTACAAGAGTTAGATTTGAGTAGCACCAAAATTAAGAGCATACCTGCAAGCATCAAACAAGCTGCTCAACTGTCTCGCCTATGCCTCAACGGTTGCAAGAGCCTTGAATCTTTACCAGAGTTCCCCCCATTGCTGCAAAGTCTTGAAGCAGATCGTTGCACGTCACTGAAGACAGTGATAAGTTCAAGCACTGCAATCACACAAGGTTGGGAAGAATATATATTTTATCGAGGGCTTCATGAGAAACACATATTTTCTAATTGCCCAAAGTTGGATGAGAATGCACGAAGCAACATAATGGCTGATGCACAGCTCAGAATTATGCGAATGGCAACAGCGTCTTCAAAGTTTAAAGAAGACAAATTTGAGAAGTTGGATGAGAATGCACGAAGCAACACAATGGCTGATGTACAGTTCAGAATTATGCAAATGGCAACGGCGTCTTCAAAGTTTAAAGAAGACAAATTTGAGAAGGTCTCTCTCTCTCTCTCTCACACACACACACACACACTCTGTCTATCTAACTCATTTTTGTTGAAGTTGCTCTCTTTTTTTTCCACGAGTTTAATAACTATGATGTACAGGGATCTTTCGTTGCCATTAGATGTTGTGGGAATGAAATTCCAAATTGGTTCAGCCATAAAAGTGAGGGATGTTCAATAAAGATTAAGCTTCCTCGTGATTGGTTTAGCACAGATTTCTTGGGTTTCGCTATATCTCTTGTTGCAAACAAGAGAGGCTCTGCTCTATTTTTAGTTGAGCATTTCAAGCTTCTATGCAAGTACAACTTCAAAACTAGTAATGGTGAAAGCCATGAAGTCAACCATGGTTTGTTTGATCTGTTCGATATTGATGCTATCTTTGACAGTGGAGATCCACGTGAGGTGTTTGTGTGGTGGTATAATAATGTCTTTGAAGAAGTTGTAGAGGGAGCTGAAAGCCCCACTGCGTTTTACAAACTTGTTACTGAGGTCAATGTTGACTTCACCGTATGGGGTCTTTCTTGCACCGAATCCCTTCCGGTGGAAAAGTGTGGGATATGTCTGTTGTATGGCAAAGATGCTGAGATGATAAAGTAGAGGGCTTTGTAGATCAAGCCAATATCCCTAAATTCAAAATTTCATTTTATTTGAGCTGTTTGCAAGACTTATAGCTGGGGATGCTTTTGAGTTTGTTAGGCATAGAGATGTCTTTCTTGTTTTAACCCTTCGTCAAAATGTGCTTTGAGATCTTTCAACTTCTTCAAAATGTTGGTGAAGTAGTCCTGCAAATATTTCTCGAGTGTAACTATGTCTTTTCCGTCGACACCGAGAAGACTGTATGTCTCGTTCATTGGAGTAGAGAAAACAGCATCACTTGAAAGAACCTACAAATTCCAAAACGCACGACATTAGCTTTGGAAAGGTGGACCAAGAAGAGTCATCAAAGATATTCTATTCAGGCTCAAAATGTTGCAAACCAACAATTAGAAAACTGCAGTGCAGTAGCCATCAAGAATAAAACAACTTGCTTTCACGTAATCGAGTGTCAAAAGGCAGAACATAAGAAATTACCTCTGAAAATACCAATCTATCAGCAACATCATTTGTCCACTCAAAAAGCCTAGTCAGCTGACGGGTTATGTTAGTTAAAGTCTTGTGATTGCATTAAATGCTGCTGTCTCTAGGAAGCTAGGAAGTTGACTCTAGGAGGAGGCTGGAAAGCTCCAGGAATTGAGAAGCCAAAATAGGATTAATTGCACCAGCTGCACAAGTTGGTGAGACAATAGTCGAGGTTCGTGACGTAAAGGGTCGATTTTGATGGAGCCAGGATTCCGGAGCCCGACCCACTCTGTTTGGTTGCTGGTTTTCTGGTGTCCGGGGCTGAGGCGTATCGGTAGTAGAAGGTTTCGTCTTCGTCTTCGTCGCTGCTGTTCTTCTTCTTCTTCTTTTCCACCATTGTCGATATCTCTCTCGTAAATCTCTCGACTTTGAGAGCCTTCTTTTTCTTTTTGTCTATTTTTGTTCAGAGCACGTGGAGGTCACGTGAGATTTGCAAAACCAGAAAAATAAATAAAAGGAAAATGAAAAAAAACGTTGTCTTTAGTTGAGCTGGAGAGACATCAGACTAGAGAATCGGTCATGAGTGTGGAGTGGAGAGAGAAGCTTACGCAAATTGAAAGCTCAACCGCCGAAGAAAGAGGTAGCTGAGAAGAAGGCTTCAGATGATTCAAAATCAGAGATTATTCTGCAATAAGACACCAGTCCAGTTTTAGTGTAAGCTAATATCCATAACTCCTTCTGTCAAGGTACCAATTTTTTCCTTATATTTCTCTCCTATTTTCTTGTTTTTCAGCTACCTTATCAAGTAAATCGATGAAAAATCTTATCTTGAGAATTGGGTATTGGATGTTTTGTAAATTTGAAATCCACATAGTTTTGGCTTTGGGTCGATGATTTCGATTTCCGGAAGTAGAGTTTAGGCCCTGTTCCTTGCTGCACAATAATTTGAAAGATAAAGGCTTTGACAGACGAATAGAACGATCCTAGTAATCTGGTCGGCTACAAGAAATATTGAAACTAACATACGAGCCTCCAAAATTTTGATGAGCTTACATTTACAATGCAGGCCGTTGAGATATAATTTTTTTTTTATTACAGTTGAGCTGATTCGGCGCATGATAAACAGCATTCTGATATGTAAGTGTAGATTTCACTTATTCTTTTCAGTTGGTAATTTACAAAATCTCTTGAGTGCCACTAGTTGTTTAATTTCCTTTATCATTTAGTGAATATGCACAAAGCTAATTTTTGGACCTAGCGTTATTTGCATATTTTATGAATATATATATGCATGTTTTGATTTGTAAGTTTGCAGGTTTTGGAAACGGATATGAATTCTTCTTCTTCTTCTCTTCCTTTTCCTGCTCCCCTTGAAGAAAAGTACGATGTGTTTGTTAGTTTCAGAGGTGAGGACACACGCGATGCTTTTACCAGCCATCTTCACGCAGCTTTACTTCGGAAGCAAATTGAGACCTACATAGATAACAGACTTGAGAAAGGAGACGACATTGGACCTTCCCTTAAAGAAGCAATCAAGAAATCGAAAATTGCAGTAGTCATTTTCTCAAAAAACTATGCTTCTTCCACATGGTGTTTGAAAGAACTTGCGCATATACTAGAATGCAAGAAAAGCTATGGACAAATTGTTATACCCATTTTTTATGGGATAGATCCATCACATGTACGAAAACAGCAGGGAACTTATGTACTTGAAGATCGTCCACTTAAGCGCAATATGGATGAGGTGGCCAACTGGAGAGCTGCTTTGGAGGAAGCAGCCAATATGTCTGGGTTTCCTTATTCAAGCAAAAAAGGGTAGCCAACTTGCTAACTTGTATCAATTTCTACTTTGTTATCATTTCATTCATGCTTACTATTGTTTGTCTTTCATAATGACATTTGCAGGACGGAGGCCGATTTTGTTGAGGAAGTTCTCCAACATGTTTTGACCAAATTGAATCGTGAATCGTCAAGTGATTTAAGGGGCCTGGTTGGAATTGAAAGAAAAATTGAGGAAATGGAGTCGTTATTATGGTTGGATTCAACAGAAGTTTGCTGTGTAGGTATTTGGGGCATGGGTGGTATTGGAAAGACCACCCTTGCTGATGCTGTATTTCACAGGCAGTCCTCTAAATTTGATGCTGCTTGTTTTCTTGCAAATGTTAGGGAGATATCAGAACAAACGGATGGACTAAAACAATTGCGAAATACACTTCTTGGTGAAATATTAAAGGACTCCTTTAATATCAACACTCCATCTATACCACTTCATATTCAAGATAGGCTCAGGCGTAAAAAGGCGCTCATTGTTCTTGATGATGTGAATGCTCGAAAACAACTAGAAGATCTTGTTGGTGATCATGATCGGTTTTGCCAAGGAAGTCGAATCATTATAACTGCTAGAGATAAAGGCCTACTTGAGCAAAAAGTTAACCATGAAAAGATATACAATGTTGAGGGATTAGGTTCTGATGAAGCTCTTCAGCTCTTTCATTCCCATGCTTTCAGAAATAAGTCTTCAACAACAGATTATGCTGGGTTGTCAAAAAAGGTGATAGATTATAGTAAGGGCAATCCATTAGCTCTTAAAGTTATGGGGTCCTTATTCCATCGTTGCAGGAGCAAACAAGAGTGGGAAGACCAATGGAACAATTTGAAACATTTTTCAAACGAAGAAATCGAGGAAGTGTTGAGAATAAGTTATGATGGATTAGGAAAAAATGAGAAGGAGATATTTCTTGATATAGCATGTTTTTATAAAGGCTATGAGAGGAATTATGTAAAAAAATTATTAGATGGTTGTGGTTTCCGTGGGGAAAAGGGAATCAATGATCTTATTGATAGGTCTCTCATATCAATTTCAAATGGACGATGGATAGATTTGCAGTCAAAAGAATTTATAAAGATGCATGATTTGGTGCAAGAAATGGGTAGGGCAATTGCTCGAGAACAACGCAGTAGGTTGTTCAATGCAGAGGATGTCTATCAAGTATTGACAAATAACCAGGTACGTAGTAATATTCACATTTACAAATAACAAGTCAGATTATTCCTACACATGTAGTTTTGAGTAAACTTTTTTTGTGTGTATATTATATTTACATTTATATTTTGCTTTTGATTGTCAGAGAGATGGACATGTTCAAGCCATATCCTTTGACTTGTGTGAGATTGAAAAGCTACTCTTGGAGTTGGAACATGCAAACTTCGAAAAGATGTATCAACTGAAATGCCTACGTGTCAGTTATGGTCTTCTCAAGTACCAATTAATTGTTTCTCTTGATCTTCCCCATTCTCTTAGATATCTTGAATGGAAAAAATATCCTTTGAAATCGTTGCCATCAAAATTTTCTACTCAAAATCTTGTTGTCCTTGAAATGCCGTTCAGCGAAGTTGGGTCGCAACTTTGGACTGAAGACCAGGTATATTATATATGCTTATTTTAGTTCTTGTATAACATGTGCCCAAGAAAGTAATAATCTGCAAGCTAAGTTATTAATTGTTGTTTAATTTGTTACAGAGTCCTGTGAACTTAAAATGGATCTGTCTTAGTGAATGCAAACATCTAACTGAAGTCCCAAATCTCTCTCGGAGTCTTAAAATTGAGCATATAGATCTGTGGGGTTGTGACAGTTTGGTTGAAATTCCTTTGTATTTTCAACATCTTGGCAAGCTTACTTATCTTGACCTTGGGAGCTGCACAAATCTCAAAAATCTTCCCCAGATGCCAGGCAATCTTGAAGTCTTACTTTTATCTGACACAGCAATAGAGGAATTGCCTTCATCAGTTTGGTCTCACAAAAAAATATCTCGCTTAGATATTACATATTGTAGAGACCTTAAGAGTCTTCCAAGCAACAGTTGTAAGCTGAAACTCTCGGGTTCTCTTAGTCTAAACGGCTGCAAATCTCTTTGCCAGTTTTGGGAGCTTCCCACGAATACAAGAGTGCTAGATTTGAGTGAGACATTATTCTTATCTTCCAGAAACCTTATGAGTCTCCCAACGAACATTTGGAAGTTGAAATCTCTGGAGAGCCTTGATCTCAGTTGCTGCTCCAAATTTCAAAACTTCCCTGAAATCTCGGAGGCTATGGAACATCTGGAGTTTCTAAATTTATCAGGTACAGCAGTTAAAGAGCTACCCCCATCAATTGGAAATCTAGTTGCGCTTCGAAAATTAGCTCTCGGTGATTGCAATAACCTTGAGGTTGTACCTGATGACCTCTTTTGCTTAACCTCATTACAAGAGTTAGATCTGAGTAGCACCAAAATTAAGAGCATACCTGCAAGCATCAAACAAGCTGCTCAGCTGTCTCGCCTGTGCCTAAGGGATTGCAGGAGCCTTGAATCTTTACCAGAGCTCCCCCCATTGCTGCAATGTCTTGAAGCAGAAGGTTGCACGTCACTGAAGACAGTGTCAAGTTCAAGCACTGCAATCACACAAGGTTGGGAAGAATATATATTTTCTCGAGGGCTTCGTGAGGAGCATATATTTTCTGATTGCCCAAAGTTGGATGAGAATGCTCGAAGCAACATAATGGCTGATGCACAACTCAGAATTTTGCGAATGGCAACTTCGTCGTCAAAGTTTAAAGAAGACAAAATTGAACAAGCATCATATGATTCAGATTATTTCCATGATGAATCAGAGAAGGTCTCTCTGTCTATCTTTCTTTCTTTCTCTTGCTCTCTCTCTCTACCGCACGCACACACTCTGTCTGCCTTACTCATTCTGTCTATTTTTTTCACCAGTTTAATAACTATGATGTCCGTATCCATGGTACAGGAATTTTTTGGCAAGAGATCTTCGGTTGCCATTAGATGTTGGGGATATGAAATTCCAAAATGGTTCAGCCATCAATGTGAGGGATCTTCAATAAAGATTGAGCTTCCTCGTGATTGGTTTAGCACAGATTTCTTTGGTTTTGCTCTATCTTTTGTTGTTGGCTATGCTGCACAGAAGATTGGATGCAAGTACAACTTCAAAACTAGTAATGGTGAAAGCCATGTAGTCAACCATCCTTTGTTTTATGATTCACAAATAAATGAACTAACCTTTGTTTATGAAGATTCACATGAGGTGTTTGTGTGGTGGTATAATAATGTCTTTGAAGAAGTTGTAGAGGAAGCTCGAAGCCCCACTGTGTTTTACAACCATTTTACTGAGGTCAATGTTGACTTCAACCTACTGAATTATCACCGCGAACCCTTTCCAGTGGGGGACAAGGTGGGGGTGGAAAAGTGTGGGATATGTCTGTTGTATGGCAAAGATGCTGAGATGATAAAGCAGAGGGCTTTGTATGCCCAAGATGCCGAAGTTCAAATTTTCTTTTGATTTGAGCTGTTTGCTTTGCAAGCCTTGTGGCTGAGGATGCTTTTGATTTTGAGTTTGTTAGGGTTAGGTATGTCTTTCTTGTTTTAACGCCCCGTGTAAGCCATGTAATTTTCTTCATTGATTTCAAGTTTTCAATTGTTAAAAGTCAACAGTATAATGATTTCAACATCTTTTGCGAGAGATGATATAAACCAATCCACATCAAAGATTGCATCGAAGTTGCTGCACCAAATACACGAAATAACATTATAAATACTCTGACTATTTTGCTTACATTGACCTCGACAATAGTTCTTTAACTGTGATATGTTGAAACTGACCTGGAATCCTTCCAAAACGATTTCTGGTCGCGCTTGAGAACAACAAGAGTAGCATTCAAGATATAAGCTGCAACAACAGCATCAGTTATCTGTAACAGAATCAGGAAACGAAGCATCAGAGACAGAATCAGCAACAAAAAACATGCATGATTAGAAACCAGTCTCATCACTATTCACTCATGGACTGAAGAAGTTACAAAGTCCTATCAACTAGTCCTATACAAGAGCTACTTATAACCAGATGCCAAAACGAAATAACTATCAACAATTAGACTCATGAAATGAACAAAACAAGACATCAATCAATTCCAGATTAAGAAAAATTATCAAGTTTTAATTGAATCTCAGTCTGAATATCTGATCATCCTCAAGTTAAGAGAAACTTGAAAGCTTATTCATTACTGCAACCATGGAGAAAAAAGGGCATAAATAAAATTAATAATATCTAATATACTTTACTTGCAAAGTTTTCGGCGGCATTGCTGCAACCATGGAACTTATCTGATTTCCTTGTGCTCCATAAATCTCGACCTTAGCTCCCTCCACTCTCCTCTGGAGTTAGCGGGCATCTGCCATGTCTTCGTACCTTGTCCGGGTTGCTTGCCAGCATGCAATATAACCCCGAATATCAATCTCATTATAATGCAGATATACAAATTATATAAAACAGGTCACTACTGAATGACATAATTCAAGACATCAATGAAGCCTTACATGTAAAGTTTTACAAATTCCAAATTACCTCAAATGCAGAGGACAATGAAACGCCTACCGGAACACAAACGTCGCCGTTTCTCAGTATTGACAAGTGGTGTTGACGCTGACGCAAGAGCGGGAGGATTCGACCCGGTCCATAAACAAGGCTTCTAATTTTCTATTCAGGGGCCGGTCGTAGGGAAAGAAACTCAATTTAAGCTTTTTGCCCTCCCATCCCATGTACCAAAAATATTTATTAAGAAACAAGGTTGAGTCTCCTCTAAGAAAAAAAAAAAAAGTAAAGCAAAATTAGCGTTCGATGCCTACTTGGTTATTTTTAATATATGCAAACATCATCCACATCTTGTAAAAATATTTATTAAGAATATTAATGTTTTATTATTTTAAGGACTTTTTAATTATTTTTATTGACACATCAACATAAAAGTGGGTCCTTCACTTGCCACGTCATCAAAGTTAACAGACTTTTGGATGAAATTGACGACATGGGACAAAGTGGATCATCAAACCTCGATCAAGCGATGAAAGTGGGCAATTTTGAGTTTTGGCAGTAACAAAGTGGAATTTAACCAAAGTTTCAAGGAGCACTAGTGTAATTAAGCCTAATAATAATAATAATATGCAATCATCATCTTGTAGTGGCTATTATATAAAGCCACCCTTTATCTTCATTTTGTATCAAGTCAGGAACATCATCATTATCTAAAGTAGTGTTCTATTACCTTTGGTTTTTTGATCATCACAAGAGAACAAGTTCCTTCTCTTACCTATTATTACTCGCACATAACCGTGTCCACGACCAAAAATATTAGTCCTGTACCCATCATAGTCACGTAAATCTCTTTGCTGACTATGATTTGCTGATCAGGCAAGTAATCTCTTTGTAACTTCGTTCTTGATCTGAGGGCTATCCCACTGACTTATAAGTTACAACGCTTGAAGAATCAATTCTCTCTATTAAAAGACCAACCTGAGTGTCCATGTACGCAATTCTTGTGGGGGCTTCTGTTCCCCAAACTGATTTCTCTTCTAATATGGGTATACTGCCCAACGATGCCCTGAGAAAAGAAAAAGAAAAAACAAGGGCAAACATATATAAGAACACAACTTGTTGCAGAAATCCGATATTTCCGATAAAATTCGGATCGAAATAAAAATATATCTGTAAATTCCAATCTGAAAAATTCTGAACTACTCCCAACCCTTTCCAATCCAATTTTTCCAATTTTTTCTCGAAAATTCCAAATTTTTAATTATAATGACTTTTTTTTATAAGTCTTATATATATGTTTCATTTCAGTACTCATATATTCATATATTAGGATTATATTAATTCAAGACTATTGGTAAAAAATATATAGTCTTGTTTTTCTATATATATATATATAATTTTTTCCAATAGAATAATGTCATCCACCTTAGGAATAAAAAAACAAAAAAGCAAGCAACACAAACAATTTGCTCAAAACTTGCTTTAAACGTGGCTTGTCTTAATTGGCCTTTAATTGGACCCTAATGCATGCCACTCAACCAAAAATACTTAGGCCCGTTTCGGTAACGTTTTAAGAGGTTATTTTCATTTTCAGAGAACAAAAACGAGGCAAAAACACGTTTGGTGGCCCAAAAATAGAAAACACTGAGAATGTTTTCATAAAATGAAAATAAATTCATGTGTACTTGTAGAAAACAGAAAAAAAAAGTTGTTTTCATTCTCGTGGAAAACGTTTTCATAAAAATAACTCACGTATTATTATTTCAAATTGTACTATCAGACACGTTTTCGTTCTTTTTGTTTTTGATGTTTTCTAATTAATCTACCAGATGCATTTTCATTTCCTGAAAATGCAAATTCGTTTTCTTGTTTTCATTCTATGAAAATATTCTCATAAAACACTCTCCGTAAACGTTACCGGACGGGCTTTAGATTTTCACAATCCAAAATCAAAAGAGTTTTAACATGGCATTTAATTGGTGCCTGGGTCTTGGAAAACGAAACAACTCTTTCCCATGTAGACTCTATTCATTAGAGAAGAAACAAGATGAAAGGAATCAACCATTTCTCTCGAGTCCTTCTTTTTGCAATACCACCACCACCACCACTGCTGGTTTGCCCCAAAGTCTCTGTTTGTGTTTCTTTTACTCACCTAATAGATCTAATTTGTTGATTGCTATATATGTTTACTGCAGATCTATAAATGACAAACGAAGTGGATTTCAACCCTCAAGTTAGCAATCAGGTCCCTGAGCAGGCTACCATCAAAAGAAGCAAAAAAGAACCGAGAAGTCTGGCTTAGCTGGAAACCATGGAAAATATAAGGTATGGAATTAGATAATTGCAAATTAAAATAAAGGTTGTAAGTCGAATCTTCTTTCCTCAATTAACATAGAAATAAATTACTAAAACTAAAATAAGAACCTTGTCCACAACCTAGACCAGCCTTAGTTGAACTCAGCCCATTGATCAAGTCTTAGAGAATGGGCCAGTGTATTTAGCTAACTCAATAGACTTTACAAAAACCCAATATACAATGCATCGGACTTTCAAACAAAGAATCAAAGAAAAAAATTCAAAGAATTCAGAAGCTAGTTAAGTGCTTAGATTTCATGTGCAATCAAAGAATAGTATGCTTAGATTTCATGTGCAATCAAAGAATAGTATGGGTGTTGTCTTCTAACCTAGAGGATTAGGATGGACTATTTATTGGAGGTTAATGCCTAAAATTTATCCCTACTAATCCTACCATTTTCAAGGGGATTAGTGGGGATACATCAACCTCATATGAATAGTCCACCTTAATCTTTCAAGTTAGAAAACAATATCTATATTCTTCATTCTTCGTTGATTGCACATGAAATCTAGTCATTTTACTAATCCAAGCTAATCCTCCATATTAAACATGGCCAATTGAGTAGGGTTGGATTAAAATAATGAGTTTGATCCAATAATTAAGATGTAGGACCTCATTTAAGGGCTTAGATAAGGTCCTGAGATGCTCTTTCTTGCTTGGGCCTCTCTTGTTGCTTTGGGCTCTCCCCTCTTGGTGTTGTAAGCTTGTTAGGCCTAGCGATGTCCTAGTACAGTTAAGCCTTCGGCCTGTCCATAAAAGCAGAACTTTGTACATAAAAACGTGTAAATTGGGGGCCTACTGTTTAACGTGTTGTCACACCATTAGAATTGAACTCAACAAAAAATCAACAGGAACTTTGTACGTAAAGCGTGTAAGAGGGGGCCATTGTGCTGCCACTCCCATGTGCCCTTTTCTTTCTTCAGTGTGTGAAATGCTAGAATTTTTGTCCACCGACACTGCTTGGGTTATTAATTCACACCTCTTTTTCCATCTCGGATTATTTTCTGGGTTTTGTCAGTGCTTTTCTTAGTCAAGATCAAGAAAGAGTTGGATTACTTGATGGGTTTTTTCTTTTCGTAATTTCCATTGTTTTTCCGTCCTGCTTTTTGTACGATTGCTAAAACATGATATAGCTATAAGCTCTACCACTTCTTTCTAGATGTCATCCTGAGGTCTTCATAATCATACTATTATTTCTTTCTTAATATTTGCTGATAAGGCGATTAGTATCTCTGCAGCTTCTTTCTTGATCTGGAGGTACTGTCTGTCTCTAACTTAATTATTAGCTCTCTTATACTTGTTTGTGGATATTTTTTGGAACTAGCGTTATTTGCATATATGCATGTTTTGACAGGTTTGCAGGTTTTGGATAGGGATATGGATTCTTCTTCTTCTTCTTCTCTTCCTTTTCCTGCTCCGACTTGGGCTAAAAGCTCCGCGTTTTCGGCGGATTGGATAGCTGGGGGATTAGTTGCCGGTGTGTATGGGGCTGGCGCAGGGCTCACCCCGCTTGGCATGCCGAACGGCATCCCCTCTCGTGGTACGAACGTAGTATTTTCAGTGGTCCCACAGACGGCGCCAAATTGTTGACGCCAAAAAGTGGTTCTTTGACTTAGAGGGTCAACTTAGTAAATTTGTGTCTTCGGTAGACTTGATGCTTCGGTAGGCTGTGCGATCTGTAATAAAAGCAAGCGCACGGTAAGACCTAGGGCACCGGTGTGGTACCGGCCGAAGGCTCTCCGATGCTTAAGTAAGTTCGGGAATAGAAAGTTCAACTGACAGATCAATAGGCTTGTATGCCGTAAGTTCTGATTACCTCTATTTTGGGATAGTTGGCCTCCTTTTATAGCTCTTGGGAGGTGTGCATTTTGTTGAT